ACACACACAGTCAGAACATACACAGACACACACACACAGTCAGATCATACACACACACACACACACACAGTCAGATCATCTACAGACACACACACCGTCAGATCATCTACAGACACACACACCGTCAGATCATCTACAGATACACACACACACAGTCAGATCATCTACAGACACACACACACACACACACACACACACCCAAACAACAAACAAAAATACAGACACATACTTATCCCACAAACAAGACAATAAGTGATCCAAAAAAACAGCGATGTTTTGGTGATTTTTTTGTATAAAATGCATCATTTTATTAAGCGAGAATGATTTATATTGATACAAAGTGACAGTAAAGGCATTTATAATATTACAAAAGATATCTATTTCAGATAAATGCTGTTTTATTAAAGAATACGGAAAAATGCATTATAAAAATCTACAAAAATAATAAGCAGCACAACTGTTTCCAGCATTAATAGTGATAATAGATAAAAACATTGCTATAATTAACAGTAATGTTTCTTGAGCATCAAATCACCATATTGGAATGATTTCTGAAGGATTATGTGACACTGAAGACTAGAGTAATGGCTACTGATTCAGCTTTGCCATCGTAGAAATAAATGCGTTTTTATTTTTTATTGCAATAAACACACTATTCACAATATCACTGCTTTACTGCATTTTTGATCAAATACATTTTGACTCCTGTCAAAAACACATACAGACCCCAAATTTTTAATCGAATGAGTACTTCTGTTTCCAATCATCCATTTTTTATGATTAATTATGGTGAACAACTCTATTTAAACTAAATACACACATATAATAGAATTCATAGTTTTCAAGTTTGAAAAAGCCTTATGTTTTATTCTTTATTATGTTTCACCATCTGTACAGATGTATCACCTACGGACACACAGTCAGATCATCTACAGACACACACACAGTCAGATCATCTACAGACACACACAGTCAGATCATCTACGGACACACAGTCAGATCATTTACAGACACACATCAACATTGTGACCAGTTGAATGTAAATGATCTTTTATATGTTCTTAATACCTCAGTATCTGCAGCTGACAGTTTGGACTCTTCAGTCCATCAGAGAGCAGCTTCACTCCTGAATTCTGCAGGTCATTGTTACTCAGATCCAGCTCTCTCAAGACAGAGTTTGAGGATTGAAGCACTGAAGACACAGTTTTACAATGCTGATTTGAGAGATCACAGCCAGAAAATCTAGAAGAGATTAAATAAAATTTAAGAAATAACAAAACAACAGACATGTACAGAGGGTTGCCAGTTTTCTGCTCTCAGGGAACGGAGGATGACATGATCTGAACGTTGGATTATTTTGATAAAATGAGCTCCTGAGAGTGAGATAATCTGATCATGTTATCATTCAGATTTATTCATATCCGAGATAAGATGAGCTCCTGACTGTTTATTCAGCTAATGAATAACATTAAAATTATGTTAATGAATTAAAAGAGCCCTGAATGAGTGCATGTTGGGAATAAAACAGTTGAATTTAATTCTCTGTCAGCTGCTTCAGCTCTTTTAAATGCTTGTTTAAAAGTCCCTAAATTATATTAACATTTACTATTTATTTCACTATTAATCATCCTCTATGAACTTGCAGCTCTGTGGAAATGAATTTATGATGTCTGTGGGTGATTGCATTAATGTTTAAAGTATAGATTTTGCAGGAGTGTATAGAAATTAATTGGGCAAAATACACATTATTACACACATTAACATGTTTAAAAACATGGGTTGCAATGAGGGCATTGATGAGAAGTGTCTCATTTGCTGCAGATTCACTATAAAAGACTAAACATAGCACTGTTATTACATAATAACCTATTCTAGACCACAGCCAAAACATTAAAAAGTTTATTTATTAGGCTACTTGGATGATTTATAAATCACAGGTTTAGTGCATCAAGTTCTTAACAGAAGTAGGAATGTCTGCAGGCATAATGAAAGCAACCACACAGCAAGCTATTTTACATTTAAGAAAAGACCTTGTCAATTAGCCAACATGAAGTTTTTCTTTAACCCTCATATGGTTCTAATTTTCTGTTTACGCTAATGGTATTTGGGGTCAATATGACCCCAAAATTGATAGAGTAATTGTAAAAAATATGTAAAGTTTTAATCATACAAATTATATATATATATATATACTTATATTTGTTTACTTCTCATCTATACATTAAAGCTGTGTTTTGGGAGATATGGAGCATTTTTGTACCTATTTACCACAAAAATCCTCAACTACACCATTAGCTTGAATGTTAAATATTACATTTTCATGAAAAAATTCAAAACAAAAACAACTGCAATAAGCAGATATGAATGGTGGGTGTGTGTGTGTGTGTGTGAGAGAGGGTGTGTGTGTGTGTGTGTATGTACGTGAGTGAGTATGCTCGTTCCACATTGCATTTGTGCTCTAGTACCAGGCCTTCATTTCTGTGTGGAAATTTTCTGATTTATACCAGATTTATTGATTTTTGTTGACAAATGAAAAAAATATATAGAGATTTTTTCGCATTTGCCATTCATTTCAAATACCAGACTTGTAAAAAAATAAAATGTACATAACTTAAGAACAACCGAATCAACCCCAGTTTTTTTATGAAATTATATTAACATTTACTATTTATTTCACTATTAATCATCCTCTATGAACTTGCAGCTCTGTGGAAATGAATTTATGATGTCTGTGGGTGATTGCATTAATGTTTAAAGTATAGATTTTGCAGGAGTGTATAGAAATTAATTGGGCAAAATACACATTATTACACACATTAACATGTTTAAAAACATGGGTTGCAATGAGGGCATTGATGAGAAGTGTCTCATTTGCTGCAGATTCACTATAAAAGACTAAACATAGCACTGTTATTACATAATAACCTATTCTAGACCACAGCCAAAACATTAAAAAGTTTATTTATTAGGCTACTTGGATGATTTATAAATCACAGGTTTAGTGCATCAAGTTCTTAACAGAAGTAGGAATGTCTGCAGGCATAATGAAAGCAACCACACAGCAAGCTATTTTACATTTAAGAAAAGACCTTGTCAATTAGCCAACATGAAGTTTTTCTTTAACCCTCATATGGTTCTAATTTTCTGTTTACGCTAATGGTATTTGGGGTCAATATGACCCCAAAATTGATAGAGTAATTGTAAAAAATATGTAAAGTTTTAATCATACAAATTATATATATATATATATACTTATATTTGTTTACTTCTCATCTATACATTAAAGCTGTGTTTTGGGAGATATGGAGCATTTTTGTACCTATTTACCACAAAAATCCTCAACTACACCATTAGCTTGAATGTTAAATATTACATTTTCATGAAAAAATTCAAAACAAAAACAACTGCAATAAGCAGATATGAATGGTGGGTGTGTGTGTGTGTGTGTGAGAGAGGGTGTGTGTGTGTGTGTGTATGTACGTGAGTGAGTATGCTCGTTCCACATTGCATTTGTGCTCTAGTACCAGGCCTTCATTTCTGTGTGGAAATTTTCTGATTTATACCAGATTTATTGATTTTTGTTGACAAATGAAAAAAATATATAGAGATTTTTTCGCATTTGCCATTCATTTCAAATACCAGACTTGTAAAAAAATAAAATGTACATAACTTAAGAACAACCGAATCAACCCCAGTTTTTTTATGTGAATATAGATAGAAAATGTAGAAAAGTCACAAAATCTTATTCCAAATTATTTTTAACTAAGTAAAAGTTGATTGGGGTCATATTGACCCCAAGGACAGATTGAGGGTTTTAAAAAACGTCAGTCTAGTTACGATTAGATTTATTTTATTTTCCGTGATCGGGATCATTTTATTTTGTCGGATGTCAAATAGATCCGTGATTAAGCGGAGCGGTCATAAGTCAAAGTAAATGATCAGAAGTGTTGTGGAGAATAATTTTGTACATAATAATGGAAAACAATCAATTTCTTCATAAGGGTCAGCTCATAATGAAGTTGACTACAGAGTGAGCAGCCGTGTTTTCTTGACATTTTTTTTCGCGGTACATCTTTTTTTTTATGTCATCACATTAAATCGCAGCTGCTGAAATTCGGTAAAAAAAAACTGCTTACATTTACATTTTATCCTGTATGGTGACCGGGAGGGGACATGTTCGGTTCTCTTAATTTTGTTCACTTTCAATTAGTCGAGGTAACGACATCCTTATGTTGTGGCCCCGACTTCTTATGTTGAGGGAATGACATATTTTTCTTGTGGCCACGAGTTTTAAACAAACCTGCATGACCTGCGAGCCAAACTGAACCGTGAACCATTTTGCTCGACTATCTACTGTATTAAAAAGCCGTGTCGTAACTCCTTTAAGATTTTGGTCTGTTATTCAGGAGAAAATCTCTCATTTAGGATTTCATTGCTAAATATGATAGTTTAGTTAATGATTAAACACTCACAGAGCTTTTCTGCAGTTGATCACAGCTGGTATCAGTCTTCTTCTCCCCTCAGCTGATGTGTTGTATTTCTTGAGCTCAATCTCATCCAGCGGCTCCTCTGACATCTGAAGCATGTAGGAGATTGTGGAGCAGTGAGCAGGAGAGAGTTTCTCTGAGTGTTTGTCTGATTTCACAAACTCCTGAATCTCTCTGGACAGAGTTTGATCTTTCACTTCCAGCAGACAGAGGAACAGATTGATGGATTCACCAGCTGAGAGAGGAGGATGTTTAAAATAATCACCAACATCATCATTTTTGATCTTCGTTTTAATGTACTGTGTGGTTTCTCTGATGGTCTCGGAGCTGTTCTCTGTGTGTGTCAGTAGATCCTGTAAGAGTCTCTGATTGGACTCCAGTGAGACGCCCAGCAGGAACCGCAGGAACAGATCCAGACGTCCATTCTCACTCTCAACAGCTTTATCTACTGCTGATGTTAGTAGATCATACAAAGAGTCTTTATTCAAACTGTGTTGTTTAAATATTTTATCCAGAAACTCCAGTGGCTCCTTGTTCTTCATTAAATAGCAGTAAAACAGATAGAAAGCAGCGAGAAACTCATGAACGCTCAGATGAATGAAGCTGTAGACTTTCCTCTGATGA